CGACATTATTGTTTGCAGATGATGTAAAAATCTGGAGAACAATAAAAAGTGCGGCTGATCATGTGGATCTTCAAGCTGACTTAGACGATTTAGTTAGATGGGCTCGAGAGTGGGGCTTAGAAATCAATGCTAGGAAGAGTGTACTAATGCACGTCGGTCACGGTAATAGTTACCGTTACACTATTGAGGGTAAACCTCTTCCATGCGTTCAAGAGCATAAAGACTTAGGAGTAGTATTAAGTCATGATTTAAAAACAACTACGCATTGCAAACCAGCCGCTGTCAAAGGTTTTCGAGCGTTATGGTCACTTCGCCGAGCGTTCAAATCTTTTGACGAGGAAACGTTTCGAATTTTATATCCCATATATGTTAGACCACATTTAGAGTACTGTATCCAAGCAGCTAGCCCGTGTCTGGTAAAGGATACTAACTCCCTTGAGCGTGTCCAGCGTGTGGGAACGAAATTAGTGAAGGGTCTTTCTAGACTCCCTTACGATGAGCGCTTAAAACGCCTAAATCTTTTCCCCTTGTCGTATCGTAGGACACGAGGTGACCTTATACTGGCATTTCGTATCTTTAATTATGATTTGGGTGTTAATATGTCTTATCTTTTTGCTCCCTCCAGCACTAATAATCTCCGAGGTCATAGCAAGAAGGTTCATAAACCACGATCTAATAAACTTAAAGTGGGATCCCGTTTTTCTCATCGAGTAGTCAATCATTGGAACGCCTTACCCGAACAAGTGGTATCAGCCCCATCAGTGAATACTTTCAAGGAAAGGCTGGACCTTCACTGGAAAGCAATGTGTCAGGATTAACACAGGTTCATCAACCTACTATCCTTATTACTGAAGACTGAAGTATCACCGTTGGCGCGCTTCATGAAAGTCGCGTTGCGAATGTGCGACTGATGGTCAAGGATAGGTCCATTGAAGATATGAGCTTCTAGAAATCGCAACCTTACGTCCCTTTGGAATATCCAAGGCTTTAAGGATGGTGCAGGATGAATTCACCCGTTTCATGTCTCAAGGGGGCTGAAAGAGGAAGCAGGTAAAAGAAAAGACGAGAGGCAGAGTAGCCAATATTCATGAAGGAATGTTTAAGGTATGATTACTCAGTCTAATTTTCTTTTATTGAGGTATTTGTTAAGCAAGAGCATTTTAATAGGTTAAAGAAAATAAGTGTAAACAAGGTATGAGTGGATATACAACTTGTGGAGATAGGCCTGACAACCTTATTTTGTAAATGGTTTTCAATGTTATTTGTATTTATTTTGTCAATTTCTCACCGCATGTACATTTATCATTAAATGATTGTACCTGTTGTTTTAGTAAATGACCTTGAACACTTTTTCCGTTGTGATACTAACATAGCGTGACACACTTTTGGTTGTTCGCAAATACACTGCTACACACACACGCTCCTTGTTCTATTCTCACGCGTTATCGAGCTAATCGCATTCTAAATCGAGTATTATCCACATTTTAGACTGCTGTGCCATTTCTATTACATACTACGTCAAAGGAACTTACTGGAGTCATATTTACCTCATTGGAGTTATTACTCATAAATAATTGTGGATTTTTGGGACCAAAACTCAACGGAATACGCAACAACTAGCTGATTTAAGTAACGTCCCTGAACTTTTATTTTGTGTTACTAATTTATAAATTGTTATTGTTACATTAACTTTTGGACGTAATAACTTTATCGCTACTTTTTGGTTATTATACTTTTGGTCGACCACAATTATTTTGGTGGCGGAGGTGGGATTCGAACCCACGCCCTATTACGGAAGGCTGCGTGTTCGAATCACGTCGGGCTCACCAAATAATTGTGGCGGACCAAAAGTATAATAACCAAAAAGTAGCGATAAAGTTATTACATCCAAAAGTTAACGTAACAATAACAATTTATAAATTAGTAACACAAAATAAAAGTTCAGGGACGTTACTTAAATCAGCTAGTCGTTGCGTATTCTGTTGAGTTTTGGTCCCAAAAATCCACAATTATTTATGAGTAATAACTCCAATGAGGTAAATATGACTCCAGTAAGTTCCTTTGACGTAGTATGTAATAGAAATGGCACAGCAGTCTAAAATGTGGATAATACTCGATTTAGAATGCGATTAGCTCGATAACGCGTGAGAATAGAACAAGGAGCGTGTGTGTGTAGCAGTGTATTTGCGAACAACCAAAAGTGTGTCACGCTATGTTAGTATCACAACGGAAAAAGTGTTCAAGGTCATTTACTAAAACAACAGGTACAATCATTTAATGATAAATGTACATGCGGTGAGAAATTGACAAAATAAATACAAATAACATTGAAAACCATTTACAAAATAAGGTTGTCAGGCCTATCTCCACAAACTGACAAATGGAGGGGATTCAGAGAGGAGCTGAAAGTATGAGATTATGTGTGGTCATAAAATATAGTGCTAAAAACAGTTATTGTGATATACAATTGACTGTCTTCCTTTTTTATCGATGCTGTTGGAGCTCTTTTCACCTTTTTTTGTGTTATTATTTTTTCAATTTTTAGTTTATTATTTTAAGTTTTAGGTATCATAGGATCTTGAGTAGACTTCGTATATTATCGAGTTGTCTAGTTTGCTTGTAATAGGATTACTAGGTAGGAAGTGAAACCAATTCAACGTTCATAACACGATTTAATGAGGTATTTTGCATGATAAATCAGCATTAATACCTTAAGTTCGTAACATGCCAGTAGACCATAAGGAGCCGTAATTAAACAAAATGTTCTGCCCTACAAACATGGGTGGATTGAAGTTATCTCCCCACCATCATGTTTACTGGTCAGTAACGCCACCCTCCCTCCTTATATTGTCTTAATCAGGAGCCAGCTTTAACACTGGGAAGTTGCTGAAGAATATCAGCGACTAACGAACCACGAAAACGACATTAAACTAGTTCAGTTCGTTGGTCAAGACAGATTCAACGTCCAAGTAATCCAAAGTAAAGTGCGTCCTGGTTCCAAGACCTCAACATCACTGCACAAAAAATCACCGAAATAAAAGTCTGAAGTGCCTCCGTCCAGATGTTGGCATTGTGGTGGTTGGTATTTTGCAAGGTTCCGTCCGTTTAAACACCATTACTGAAGGTAATCTTACACTGTTGGACATAGAGAGACTTATTGCAAGCAGCGAAATAACCACCGGGAGTGAAATTTCCGAAGAAGGTACAGATCAAATATAAAGCCATTTAAATCATTTACTGTATCTTCGGTAAATCAAGTACATGAAAGACCGGTTGGGAAGTTTACTGAAGTTCTGACAAATGGCTATTTGATAAAATTAAAATTGGATAACGCTTAAGGCACGACCATCCTCTCCAGAAGAACGTAGGCCAAAAGAAGAAAGCTCAGTCTGCAGCCTACAAGCCAGTCTGTAGTGAGCGCAACAGGTGATAAAATGAAGCTTATTGGAGTTCTGTCATGCTCAGTAACACTTAAAGATGTGACTATAAGTGTAATATGTTACATATCAGACGATAACCTAGATTTATTCGGTTTGGACTCGTTTTTTACGGATTCAAGATTCCAGATATCCCATTGCGAAACGTAGGTAATAGAATTGTAAGTAAAGATAAGGAGCAGTGGTATCTCACAAACACTTTGCAGAAGGTTTAGAGCATTGCACAGCAACGAATGTATATCTCTACTTGAAGAAAGTGTTAATCCAGTGTTTCCGCCGCAAAGACCAGTTCCATATGCATCATTACCAGGTTTACACGAAGAACTCCAACGTCTAGAAAAACATGGTGTATTATTTATTTATTTGAACACATGAATATTGGTACAAGAGAGCGCCAATATATATGCGCCACACAAAACAATGAGAATTCGAAGAGAAATAGAAAAAAAAGCTAAGGAGCGCAAAAAAAGAGAACAATGACGAGGAGATTGGTGTAAGGTAGTATGGTAGAAATGAGGGAACGGAAAGGTACAAATAGAAGAAATCTTTCAGGTATGGTGTTCTATCATCAGTTTCATTCTCATCTTCAGCAACTTTCCTAGTGGTCATAAAGAAACTAAATGGTACACTATGGATCTGTGCAGACTCCTTAACTGGATTAAATGCTGTGCTAGAACAATATCATTATATTTTGCCCACTGCAGATGATCTTCTTACGATCTTAAGTGGTGAAAACTGCTTTGAAAAACTAGATCTACCCGAAGCCTATCTATAAGTAGAGGTAAACTCTTCATGACGTAAACTAATGATAATAGGCATACATCGAGTTTAATCGACTTCCTTCCGGAGTAAAGAAAGCACAGCTATATGAAGCTTCGGTGACATTCTGGAGAAGTAACATTAAAATCCCAAAACTTCTCTAGGTCTAGGGAAAATCCTCAATATTTTTCCAGAATCTTATGACACATTGACTTTTTTCTGGGAAATGTTCTCAAACTTTGTGGAAAGCTATCATATTTTTCTTACGAGTCTGAAAATAACCCCAAAATACGGAGATTGGAAGTAAGTTGATAAAGGATGTAGGAGAATTACCAAAGGCAATCTATCCTAATTGGAGAGGTTACGTAAAGATCGTTCAAATCCAATGGTTACTGCCTAAGTTCTGAAAATAATTGATTTGTAAAATAAATCGAAACAAGTTCATGATACATACACACACACAAGGACCCATACAGTGGTAATAATTCAGATATTGATTTTCTTTTGAATCATATGATATTGAATTTAACCAATGAATATGAATTCTATATTAAACGAATAACCCTGGAACATATTGAACAGTACACATGATAAATTACAATGTATCATATCGAGTTAATGGAATATTAAACAACGAACATAAAACACGTACTGATAAACAAATGTAATGACATTTCTTATTGATCCATTGTTGAAGTTATCAAATGTGACTTTCCATAATTCATGTCTGTTTTTCTGTATTGAGTATTTAAGTGATGACATGATTGACAACATCATATACACAAAAATATTATCCAGAAGAAAATGGTACGTGAATCATTGTTGATTATTCAATTCATTATAAACTATTTCAACACTGTTTATACAAATTTGAATTATTGATGTTAAGATAGATTCACAACCAAACGGTTTTCCAGGGGTGGTGAATAAGAATATCTCGAGTACTCAAAATTTCAAACAAACGTTTACCAACGTAAATAACAGATGACAGAAATTATTCGAAAACCGTCAAACTTGTCAACTATACTCAACCTACTCTATTGAGTTAAGTCTTACAAGAATAGTCAATAGGCAAGTGTCAGAGAAGTCTGATCGATCCGATAGCCAGTAAACAATGAATACTGCATTCACATTGCAACCGATATTCACAGTCGAATACAATTAATATTCGTATACAAATTACATTCTCATAATTTATTTGAATGTTTTGTTTATCTCAGTATTTCACCTAGTTATCTGATCTTTTCGTGATCTAGAGCACTTTGACTTTCGTGGAACTTATCACAGAGAATCGGTTACTCTTGCTTACTGCACTCATCGTTTCTTGGATAAGTTTCAAACTTTCACAGTTATTGTTGATCTATTTGAAATACACTGTTGGAGTATGGTGCTTTTCTAAACGGAAAACACTTCGTCAGGCTGGTGAATGGGCAGTTGTCACTGGTGCATCGTCAGGTATTGGTGAAGCGTATGCAGAAGAATTGGCCAAAGAAGGTCTCAATATCATGCTTATCAGTAATCATGAGAAACAACTGTCGTCCGTTGCTAAACGAATCGCAAATACCTACAATGTTCAAACACGAATTGTGGTTGCAGATTTCACTAAAGTAATATCCATTCTCAATGAATCTGTTAATCATATAATTTTAAATTATTGTCATTGACTTAAGTAATCAGTTCGATTTGTCACTCGGTAGTTTTTGAATAGTTTGACAGGAGTTGTGTATCACTAATTGCCTTGTTCATAAATTGATAGATTGTTAGTCGAGTTATTACTGACACTTGAGTCATGTGGTCATGTCAAAATGATCATTATTGATAACATGCATTTTAATGTAGAAATGCCGTGACATACAATTTCATTCATTCAGTGAACAGATGCGAATGTGAAATAACTGTTTGCGAATAATACTCTTGTTCTGTTGATTTTCAGTTTACTGGTGTACAATTAAAGTTAAAACCGTGTTTCATAAGAAAAATATTTGTGTATAAGTATACAAATTAATAGTGTATTTGCTTGTAAATTGTCAGCGAAGTCCGAAATAAATACTTTGTCGTATTCAATAATACGTCAACTGAATGCTCCGGGATCCACGTTTTGATGTTTACTGTGAAATTTGAATTCGGTACATGTCACTGTAAATGATAAATCGTTGTATAGAGCGAAATATGGAATTTGAACAGTTTCTGATCTGTTCAAACGTCGCGTTGTTTGATCGTAGGTAATTGGATTCACTTCGTTGCTGATATTCAGGAATTCATTTGACCAATCTCCTTTCAAGAGTATTCCGAAACTTGTATTAGAGGGTTAATACAAAAGCAGCATCCACACACGATGCACCCAAACTCCCAAACATTGATTGGATTTCGGTCGTGAATATTGGAGACCGAAAACCGCAGACATTTATTATTAATATATGGTATACTAGTTGAACAGATATCAGGATATTTGATCTCACACCCTCAGTGTATATCGCGTTGGCCATTGACAAACAAGGTAGAGAACTGCTCTCAGATTCATCTACAATTCACAATTCAAACGCATCAGAATAAATTGACATTTTTGAAATTTGATCAAATATTCAAACACTTAAACACTTAGGAAACATTCGAATGGTCAACTTCCACCAATCTTGTGTTCTCTTTTGCTTAGAATGATGTTTATGAAATCATGAGACCTGCTGTTGACCAATTGTCCACAATTGCTTGTTTAGTTAACAATGTTGGTATGGTGTTACCGTTTGAGTTGTTTGCTGGAGAAGTTGATTCACCGAATGAAGAATCAATTAGAAATATCATTCATTGTAACATTTTATCTACACTGATAATGACAAGCATCATTCTGCCGAAAATGTTAACACAGAAAGGACCTAATCCTGGTATCATAAACATTTCATCTTATACAGCTTTAAAAGTGACGCCCTACTTGACAATTTATCCTTCAACCAAAGCATTTGTTGCCCAATTCTCTAGATGTCTAGCTGCAGAAAAGTATAAAAAGAATGTGATTATACAAACGATTTGTCCATTATTTGTATCTACAAATATGACCGATTTAAGAGAAGCCACATATTTCACACCATCTGCTAAAGTCTATGCTAAAAGTGCATTGGATATGTTCGGTGTTGAACAACAAACCACTGGTTATTTTCCACATGAGTTAAAAGCATTTGTATACAATTTGTTGCCAACATCATTGTGGGTAAAAATAATCGAACGTACGTTCACTCCAATCAGTAGACAATTGAAGAAGGTTGACTAACATGAATGTTGTTTTTCAACTTTCCTGAGAAACAGTAAAACCTAAAAATGAACATTTCGAAAATTTTACGAATTTCTTTCCAATTAGTTAAATGTAATGATATAAATCCATTCTATACCGTAGTTTCTCATTAGCTGCTTATAACCAAATTGTTGTTAAATTTTACATTGAGGTAAGACTTAGCGTGAAGCAATTGACATAAGTGAATAAAATGTATTGAAATGACAAACATTATGAATAATCACTATATATATGTTTGTGTGTGTGAGTGAAAGAACAGATCGGAGATCATTTGGTGTTAGAAACAACAAAAAAATCATGAGAGGTGGGTGATGTAATAATTCAATCAAGTTCAGAGATAGATAACATAAATTGTGTGATAATTTTAGAAGTAATGAAGGGTTTGCATAATATTGCTGGAATTAATAAGAACTGGTAAGATGAGTTAGTTCGAGTCCGCGTGACTATTTTGACTAATGATTAGAGACTCTAGGTGACATGGCTCAGAATCGATCACAATGGCGTAGGTGTATACACTCTTCGTCTTCCCTTGAACTATGAGATTAAAATCTTTCTTTCTAACAACTAATTCTTTCTTCCTGTACTATAACCCTTAAGCACAATCGTTCTTTTATATATTACCACCCTTAGAGTAACTAATTCTATGAATTTGGTGTTCATCTTGTGCTAATGTGGTATGTCAACTTGAACCGATACATATATGTGCCTGATCCTACATTGTAGCTGACTGACTGAATGGTAAGATAGGTTGCATAATAATTAAACAAGATTTGAGAAGTTCATATAATTTAAGAGAGTTGAGTAAATGGAAATGTATAGGTGAAAGGGGGATAGTGCTGGTTTAAATGTACATAAAATAAGAATTGGACAACGGAAGAGCAACATAACACATATCTCATGTGTTTCAGCAATCGAAATAGAAGCAGTATTTCTTTGTCTACTAATTTTAAAATTTTGAGGAAAATCAATGGTATGCTCAGTGTTAAATAAATGCCAAGCTATTGTTTTATTAAGAGCCCTTACCCCCTCCCCACACACAGACACACGCACACACACTCCCAGTTTCTTTGGTACATGTTCAGAAATGCAAACATGTATTTTTCTCTCGATTATTCCAATGTATATGCTTTGCCACGTACATACAAATGTTCTTCATTACTGATTTTTTATTTTATGCATAATTGTGTATGCCTCCTTCAGTCATACATTTCCACTCTGAGCTATATCACCAAGAGTCTCCAATCATTAGTCACGATAGTCACGCAAACCCCAACTAATCCATCTTACCTGTTCTTTTTAATTCCAGCAATATTATGCAAACTCTTCATTACTTCTAAAATTATCACAAAATTTGTGTTATCTGTCTCTGAACTTGACTCAATTACTACATCACCCACCCCTCATGATTATTTTGTTGTTGTTTCTAACACCAAATGACCTCCGACTTATTCTTACATATAAATCCATATATGGTGATTATTGAAAATCTTTGTCATTTCAATACATTTCATTCATTTATGTCAATTGTTTTACACTATATCTTATCTCAGTGTAAACTTTTAACATGTAGTTGGTTGTATAGAGTTAATGAGAAACTAAGATATCGGATGGATTCATATTATATTGTATCCATATTCATTTTGGCGTAGATTAAATCGTCGATTTCCTATTGCCTTAATAATTTGATATGTGTAACTCAAGCCAAGTCTTATATGCCGAGAAAATTATTTGAGAGAAAATAACAACTGATCCATTGAATAAGATCATGAACCGATTGATGTTACATCACCAGTGAAAACCTGGAGGCACTGGATGGCCGTTTCGTCTTATTGCAGGGCTTTTCAACAGTGTGCATTCACGATCCCGTCACGCACGATTCGAACTCAGGGCGTTCGGTTTCGCGTGAGAGACCGGTGCTTACAGATTTTCAATGATGATCTAACATCAATCAATTTATGATCTCAATCAAAAACATAATAATCTCCACAACCCCATACTGATCCATTGATATGGAACTCTCAGGGAACAAAGTTCCATATAGTAAATATAAAGAACTGAAATATCCGACTGTCTTGTTTTTTTCTCCAGGATAATATTATTATACAGTAATTTTGTATCTTGTGACTGTCTAGATCTAGATTGATGACTTACATAAGATGGTTATAGTTATGAGAAAATTCCTATCTGTTTCACTTATAATAAGCAAAGTCTATAGTGTAATCAATTTATTGCTCATTCATCAATTGAAAAGAAAGAAGCTTCAGCTGAAATTAAATTGATTCCTTTAATAGTAACTGGAAAATTGAAGTTAGACCACCAAAGAAAATCCGGAATCACTAGACGGTAATTTCGTCCTATTGTGGGACTCCTTATCAGTAGGCATCCACGAACTCGCCTCGCGAAGATTCGAGCCCAGGACTTATTAGTCTCAGGCACGAACGCTTAACCTCCAAATCACTGAGCCCCGATTCAACCGTGTTAATGCCTAACTTCAACTAATCCATGAAATTGAGCAACACATCCATCATTGGCATTAAAATGAAATATAGATTAGTAACCTGTGCACTAAAGAGAATTAAGCTATATAGATGTTTAAACCTTAACATTGTTTGCTAATCTAATATATGAAAGATCTTATACTGACATTGTTATAATACTTCTTATTCTATAAAATGTCTACAATGTATGTTTTCGATTTCATACTCAATTGCTTTTTAGTTGTCAAGGGAACATTTTGTTTCCATGTGATTGTATTTTGTAAACTTCTTGATTATTATTGTGAGATTATTTTGATACTTGAAATTGTGTCATTCATTATGTATGTTTGTCAAATTGTATGAAATAAGATAAGACAAACTAAATTCTCTCAGAATCCATTCAGTATTGTAATCCTAATGAACGCATGAGTGATTGTGAGATGCTTTATTTTCAGTATCAATGGTTTTCTATTTTCTTTAATCGATAAAGTGGGACGGTGATTAGTCACTGAAGTTTCTGTTTAATTTTGAGAAGTGTGAAGAAAAGAGAAAGATAATTGCAGCTGACATAGATTGAGATAAAGATAGAAAGGCAGTTGGCGTGTCTACAATGATGATAATACAAGACTAGTTTGTGAATAGATATTTTGTAGTATATGATAATTTTGACAACATTATAAAAGCTTGTTCGATACTGTGTCGTGCTTCAGAAGATAGTCAATATCATACGGAATTCCTACGATGGATTAAACTGCAAAATCTCGCATGGAGGACAGTTGACAAACTCGTTCGAGGTGAAGACCGATGTCAAGCAAGGTTGCTTACTCTCACCCTTTCTCTTTCTCCTGGTGATCGACTATATTATAAAGACGTCAACCTCTGGGGTAAGCACGGGATACAGTGAACAACTAGGATGCAGCTGGACGATCTAGACTTTGCAGATGATCTGACTCTTCTATGGCACACGCAACAACAAATGTAGGAGAAGACGACCAATGTAGCAGCAGCCTCAGCAGCACTAGATCTCAACATACACAAAGGTAGAAGCGAGATTCTCCGATATAATGCTTTGAAGGATGTATAAACCTTTACATATCTTGGCAGTATCATTGATGAACACGGTGGATCTGATGCAGATGTGAAGGCACGGATCGGCAAAGCAAGACCAGCATATTTACAGCTGAAGATTATCTGGAACTCAAAACGACTGTCAACCAACACCAAAATCAGAATTTTCAATGAAAATTTCAAGACAGTTCTACTGTATGTGGCGGAAACTTGGCGAACTACGAAAACCATCATCCACAACATACAATTGTTTATTCACAGTTGTCTACGCAGAATACTTCGGATCCGTTGGTCAGACACCACACTATCAGCAACAACCTACTGTGGGAGAGAACAAACCAGTGGGGAAGAATCACTGGAAATGTATAGGACACACATTCAGGATAGCACCTAAATTCGTCACAAGGCAAGCCCTGACATGGAATCCTCGAGGCCAAAAGAGAAGATTAAGACCAAAAAACGAACTACACTGAGAAACTACTTTGAAGTTGTATAAAGTATGAGACTAATAACAGATTCACAATACACTGGTGTGAATGATAGTTGACAGTGTAATTGAATTGCTGTTGTCTGTTAGTGACCACTCACCATTACCATATATCCTCATATTAGTAAGTGAGTAAAATATTTATTGACATAATATATAACATGTAATATTATATCTGACCTTTCACTTCGCCCATAGCTCTTTTAGAGTTACTGCAGTTCCCAAGCCCGGGTAAAAGAGTAGGGTTGGACATGGGGTTAGCAACCCTTTCCCGTAGAAAACTAACTTGTTAAAAAAAACGCTAACCGGAAAAAAATAAGTAAAATCATTTAAACTGTGCCCTGGGAGTTAGAAGGTCTTCATTTAGAAGAGTTATGACGCCTCATGGTGAGAGCCGAGTTCCATCGGAAGTCATGAGGCCGATGCCCCTTCTAGCAACAATTTTTATTGGTACATGGAACGTTCGAGTAATGTGGGTGAATCAGTCAAATAGAAACAGAAATGAGAAGATATAAATTGGCAGTACTAAGAATCAACAAAACCCATTGGACCGAGGCTGAACAGCAAAGGTTAGATACGGAAGAGATGCTACTATACTCCAAGCACGAAGAGGATAATACTCCATACACTCAGGTATCAGCTCTAATACTATTCAAAGATGCACTATATTGCACTTGTAGAATGGGAATCTCACGAATCTAGAATCATCAAAGCGCATTATTCTGGTGGGGTGGACTATGTTCCTCCACGAGGAGTAAATAAGTAACTTCAGTACATTTTTAACTGCGTTATATTACATAATCATTCACATGGCCAATAACCTAATCTTATTCATTTCAAATTCTTCTTCGTTTTATATATATATTTAGAATGATACATATGATATAATAAGACCCGCTATTGATCAATTATCTACAATTGCTTGTTTAGTGAATAATGTTGGTATGGGATTACCATTAGAGTTATTTACTGGAGAAATGGATTCACCAAATGAAGAATCAATAAGAAATATCATTCATTGTAACATTTTGTCTACAGTTATGATGACAAGTATCATTCTACCAAAAATGTTAACACAGAAAGGACCTAATCCTGGTATTATAAACATTGCATCTTATTCAGCACTTAGAACAACTCCATATTTAACTGTATATTCTTCAACAAAAGCGTTTATCATACAATTTTGTAAATGTTTATCTGCTGAGACATATCGAAAGAATGTGATTATACAGACATTATGTCCATTAATTATCTATACCACAATGACTGAACATGAAAAACCATCATATTTTAATCCATCGGCTAAGTCATTTGTTCATAGTGCATTAAATATGTATGGTGTAGTACAACAAACTACTGGTTATATATTACATGAATATAAAGCTTATTTATTTGATTTATTACCAACATCATTGTGGATATTATTGACATATGCTAGAGTGAATGCACGTAAGAAATATGTATAATGGTATGGTATGATATGATACTGTTCCGATAAACATAATGAATGGTAACTTTTGAGATCCTATTGATGGACCAATACTGTGTGTATATTTTTTTTATCATATAATTGTTAAATAACTAAATTATTCATATTTTTCTTATCATGAGCTTTCTTTTGACTTATGAACCATTATTATACGTTTTACCATTCTTGAATTATACCCGGTCTATCAATTACTACCTTCCATACTCACAGCCACTTTTGGCTAAATCTTGTACAAATATTGTTTCCTATTTTTATTGGTACGATATGGTCGGTCTGGTTAGTATATAAATTCAGTATGTTTGAGATAAATGATTTATATTGCAGAGGCTGAGATTGGTGTTCTGGACTTAACTGGCTGGGCTAGGCACAGAGCAGGGCCAATAGGGATACTAGACTGCTCTCACGGGTTTTATGCGTCGTTAATCCGGTCGATAATTTGCTTCTTCTGATTGGAGGCTTTGGGCTATAACAGATATAATACATTATCATTTCATTACAAGTGATACTTTATGTTGATTGATTGATATGAAATCTGTTTAGTTTTGATGGATGTTTGTAATAGTGAGGTTTAGTTTGTTGTTGCTGTTGTTCTTTTTGAATACAGAGTTTGTCAAATTAAAAAAAATTAACCTTTATTGACTACATTATCACTAGGTATGTAAATATATATGCCCTTAAAAGCAATGGTACGACAGAGGATGGAAATAGTCAACTCTACTTTTGGAAATCGTCTCATATGGTAAAGGGTACACAGCTACTAACAGGGAAGTCCTATTTACTGCCTTCTTGAGATGAGGATGTTGCTTATGAAGTTGTGAGAAGAAAAACCGAATGTCCAACTTTGTAACCAGGTAAGGGAATATGGAAGATCTGCCCGGTGGAATTGGAAAACCCTGATTACAAACCAATGGTGCACATGGACTCCAGGATATTCAAGAAATAAGTGGCGTATGAGCCAGTTGTTGGTCATCGGCTACCACGCGATTGTATCTCCTGACTTTGCTTCACTGCCTTGTGGATCAGACGCTTAGTTCAAAGGCTCCAGGTGCGGTATTTAAAGAAAACCACCTGCTTCGGTTAAGGCACCCTTGCAGTATCCTAGCCCTCACAAAAATTAAATGATTTATATGGTGCATATTTATCAGTCTAGAATTGTGAAGATTGTTGAGTTTTTATTGCGATTATGAATCGGAAACTGTTAGACAACCCTCAAAAGCTTTTATCATTGAATTGTCATTTCGTCTTGGTATGTCATGGATTCACTGAAGTTAGATTTTAACATTGTTTGATGCCAGCTCAGCGGTCTAGAGGTTAAGCGTTCGCGTGTGACTGAAGGTCCTCAGTTTAAGTTACTCGTGCAGGGTTATGGATTCGCATTCCAGTGGACCCCATAATAGGATGAAATGGCCGTCCAGTGCACCCAAGAACAATCTGAATTGAAATTGGAGTTATCCAATTCATGAATTTTTACTTCATCACCATGTTTACGTTTTGCAAATCAAATAGTTATTTAAATCAAGAATCTTCATCATCTGACTATTCATCTTCTAAATTATGATACTCGTAGATGATCATTAGTCATATTTTGAAGGTAAAACTGTTATTCTGATGATGTTTTACATACTGAATGAGTTTGAGGTATGCTAGATTTGAAGAATTACTTAAACCTTCGAGAATTTCGTGAATGTTCTGCATTATGCCATTGACGCATTTTTCTGGCTCTTCTAGATTACTTGGACTCACTCATGTGTTAGCACCCTTTAAAGTTCTAACGGAATGTTCTTACAAACCATTGAACTGAGAGTAGCTTGCACCTGTAAATAGGTGACAATATTCAATATCATTTGGCTAGTTGTTAACATATTTTCCTGTGGAACAGGTTTCATTAACAGTTACTAATCCATTCTGTATTCCTTCACGACTGAATATATCATTCATCGCTCTTTGAGTAAATTTTCCACTAGGAATGTTCATCACTACCACTTCTAAACATTTCGAATTTCAGTTAACAGCAAATAAAGGATTAGCCGCAGTAATGCGCATGAATACATCGGCACTATGTATAAGATGAAGGTCAATGATTTCAAGTAGTCTTGTTGTATGACAACTTGTTCGGAACAAACAGAACAGATTTTCGATTTACAACTTACTTCAGCATCAATCTTAGGCCTCCAACGTGTCTGACAAGTAAGTGATTTTATTTTTCCTGCTCACAGATGGACTAAGTGAAGGTCTACTATTGAAGATCTAGGTGTAGGTTGGGGACCGATTACCTGACAATCACTGACCCTACACCTATGACTCTTTTATAAAACTCGGAAAACCTACGCTTGCAATGAATATTTCAACCTCTTTTCACCACACTTATAACACTTCCAAAAAAGGAAGGAACGAATTGAGCGAAGAAATTTCTTTTCAATTAGTTTTTCATCATGGCTCTACACTAATATATATACGTTTTACAATAATAATATAATACTCATCGAGTGGATACGTTACGTAATAATTACATAATGACATTTAAATTAACATTCAGTAATTGGAAGAGAGAGGATTATTAATATTCAAAGTAATCAAGAAGTTGCGTAATATAAGAAACAAAGAAGTAATAGAATTTTACCGGATGGTCAATAGGATAGTAGTTACGTAAGAATCAAGAGATGAATGTTGAGAAGTTATAAGGCTCAAAAGCGATAGAAACGAAATTACAAAAATTTTAAAATTAAAATAAAAATGGAAGAAGTATGAAAAATAGTTCTTCTGACGGAAATGTTATACTGAAGGCCAGGGTAGAGAAAGTGGTTGTACGAATTTCCTTTGGATGCAAAGGTCAGGTTTGTGGACATGGGTTGCGATGGCTTCCGCAATGTGCAAAAGGCGCACTCGTAAACCATGTGGTAGATCTGATGGAATATTATAGATAACCTTAAAAGCTTTATTCACTTCGACTTGATGACCTGTGTCAACCAAGTGAGAGAGAATAGAACTTTTAATCCCTTTCACCTGTCCTTTGCTTAGCCATGTTGGATGATGTTCTGTAATGCGGTGACGGACCTGTCGAATTGTACGCCCTATGTAACTGGCTCCACAGGAGCAGTTGAAACGATAGATACACATAGATTTGGCGAATTCTGGCAGTCTGTCTTTAATGGATGTTCTTATTTTCGCATGGTTATAGAAGATGACATTTAATTTGGCAGCATTAAATGTTTTTTGTACCGCTCTTATTTACCAAATGGCAAAATGGGAGTTTTCACTATATTGAAACGTCCTGAGCAAACGTTTGCGTTAAAGGTTCTCAATGAGTATCTAAAGTATAGCGCAAGGCTCAGTGAGTCGATGACAAATGTTGATTTTATAGAGGAATGTATAGAAACCAACTTGTATCCAAAATTGTATTGGAAATCTTTACGTTGCTCTCGAGTTCGACCAAATGGAAGGACTCTCAAACGCTTCGCTCTTAACCAAATCGATTCTCTAAACTCATACATTACCGAGATGGTAAAAAATATCAATGAGAGAATTTACGCTGTAGAAGACCTCCCAGATAAATTAAGGGAACAATATCTGGACTATGTCGAGATGGTTGTTAACTCAAGAAAAGAATGAAACTTAAGAAAAATGTAGACAAACAAATTCCAGAAATGAAATTTCCATCTAATCCAGATCAGTACGTACACAATTTCTCTAGTGTTATGCTGGACAAAACTGCGTTAGAAGCGTTATCATTAGGCCCTAAGTTTTGTGACTTTAAGAAAACAGTCAATAAAATGGACGTTGAAATTCAATTCAAAAATCTTTATGCTCAAACGTCAGAACTTGTAACTTCATCAAAAGATAATGTCGAAAGATTTAAATCAACACTAGTCGACTGTTGTTTTAAATACGTAAATCATAGACATATCACGAAAGGGATTTTGACGAAAAAACATATAGAAGCTCTAAGAAAACTTAAAACTAATGACAATTTATTAATCATGAAACCGGACAAAGGACATGGGATAGTACTCATGGATAAAAATGACTACATAAACAAAATGAAAGCCCTTCTAAATGATAAAAGCAAATTTCAGAAACTGGCTGTGAAAAACGACATAGCAGACAAGATCGAAAAACAACTAACTGATTTACTGAAAGAAATTAAACAACGAGGTTTTATTTCAGAAAAGGTGTTCGAAATGTTGAAACCTATAGGAACAATTACACCAAGACTATATGGCTTACCGAAAATTCACAAAAGTGGCTTGCCCCTTAAACCAGTATTAGATATGAATAACTCAGCGTATCACAATTTAGCAAAATGGTTGGTGCAAATCCTTCAACCATTACACAAAGAAATTGTCAGACATAGTGTCAAAGATTCCTTTGAATTTGTGGAGAACATAAAAAATCTATCAGTCAAGAATAAATTCATGATATCACTTGACGTATCATCATTATTCACTAATATTCCACTACTCGAAACGGTTGAATTTATTTGCAATGAACTAACGGCGAGACGCATAGAAACCCCGATTCCCGCATGCGCGATAAAACAGTTAATTCTTAGATGCACTATGAACGTCCAATTCAGATTTGACAATGAATACTATAGACAACTAGATGGAGTCGCCATGGGATCACCATTAGGCCCTCTACTGACTAATATTTTCCTTGCAAAACTGGAAAATGGACCACTTAAAAGTACAATTACTTATTTACCAACTTATTATCGCTATATAGATGATACCTTCATAGTATTAGAAAAAGAAAATGATAAGCACAATTTACTTAGTATATTTAATAACGTTCACCCATCAATTAACTTTACATCAGAAGATGAACAAAATAATAGCATATCTTTTCTAGATGTCCAACTAACTAGAAGAACAGACGGAACTATAAAAAGAAGAGTACACAGAAAGTCAGCAGCTGGTCAATACACTCATTTCCACAGTGCAGTTCCAATCAGATACAAAAGGAACTTAATAAAGATCTTGACACATCGTGCTGGAATGATCTGTTCTGAAGACACTATTGAATATGAATTGAACAATATTCGGAACCTACTCAGTCTGAATGGGTACCCAATGAAATTCATCGAAAAACACATGACGGAGAAGAAAACAAGGACAAAAATACCAACTGTCCACAAGAAGGTATTATTCATAAAACTACAATTCATAAATGACTCCATTGAAGAAGTCATGACACAGAAACTAAGAAGAGCGGTACAAAAAACATTTAATGCTGCCAAATTAAATGTCATCTTCTATAACCATGCGAAAATAAGAACATCCATTAAAGACAGACTGCCAGAATTCGCCAAATCTATGTGTATCTATCGTTTCA